GAATCGTGAAATTTGTTCACAACTTGTTCGCAATAGGTTTGCCGGTTTCCCTTGAGCGGTACTCTGTTGGCCCCGCGTGTGTATGTACAGCTTCATCATACAACAACAACCCTGATTCCAACCATTCAATCATCTTTCCTTTGTCATGCATCCTCAGTCTTGAATCTTATTCTTGATCCTCTGTACAATTGGTGAATCCTTGGTGACTGATGCTGAAGGGCGTTGTTGTTGTATGATGTAGCTGTACATATACAGGCCGAGCAGAGTACCGCTTGAGGGAATTCGGCAAACGTATTGCAAATGAGTCGTGAACGAATTTCACGATTCGAGGAAATTTCGAACCCGGACACCAAAACTCGGTTCAATCCGGTTTTGAACTATTTAATTCCCGCGGTGTCACCAACAACTTTACTTTTAAAAAGAAACATTTTAAAACTCTTATAACCAAATTTCCAACCTTAAGCAGAAAACATACAAACTAGCATTTCATAACTTGTTTGTTACGACTCTAGCTTGTATCATCTTCTCTCACGGTTCGCAATCCTCTGTTATCCCCGTTACTTTGTTTCCGACAAAAGCTAAAGGACTAGTCGGAATTCCTTGTGACCTCTTAAAACTCAACCTAGTCGAATATAGTTCTTAGACCTTCTTGATTGATAAAGAATTAACATTCTAGACATCGGAAGTAGAACTTACGGACTCACCCTGAGGAAGGATTATTCGTAACCTCCTGAAGAAGACCCGTTGAAATATATTGATTATATTAAAACGTGAGTACTCATTCTTGTTACTGTCTAAGTCAGAAGAACAAAGCTAACTGTTACCTGACCATTAACTCGTAGGCTCAAATTTACTTCAATAAAAGATAACCTTTTATTGTAACAAAGCCAACACCCGCTTGATACTGTTCTAAGTACGCTTTTTTCATTCAGTTTCAGTCTAATTTTGTAGACTCAGGCTGACAGAAAGGGTCTCTCCTTATTGTTCATTGAATTTTCTTGCTTTCCAATTGATTGACACACTGCTACACTGCTACACTTCTCCATACAAATTTAGTGTACAAAAGGACAAATCTAGGGCTTGATATGCCCAACCAAATATGTCTCTGTTCTACAGCTCACAACCCAGAGAATTTCACATTGTTTAAAACACTTGACAGAATCATAATTCTACTGTATTTGACTTGAGTGCAAGTTTTGGTCTTAAAAATTCTTTCTCATTTCATTTGATTGCTTTGAGACAATTTAGAAAATGGACCAACCAATCTATGTATTCAAGACTAACAAAGAGTTGCAAGTTGAATATGATGATGAAATACACATTGATTTTAGTAAAAATGGTCTTGTCTTTTCCTTCTGTTAGAATCTTGAAGTTCATGAATTGAGAAAGAGAAATTGAAGCTACAAACAGATCATTGGTAATTTGTTTGGAGTGCTGCAACTTCCAGAATGACTACAGTCAGATTATTGAATAAAAAAAGAGCATGATTTGAAATTTCCTTTCCCATGTGAGTAAGACTTTTGGAAACCACATTTAAAAAAACAGGCCTTCAGATCACACAACTTGAACTCAATGAGCTCCAGAAGGAAACAGTCATTGTTCATGCTGTTCAATATCCCCTAGACCAAAGAAAGCACTTGATGATGTCATGATTGCCTTTTTTGTTAAATCTCATACTCACAGACAATGAGGAGTGTATATATGGATTAATATATGGATCAATCAAATGATCATTGTGTTGATGTTGAGTGATTTTGACAAAGCAATTTATAAAAAACCCAATCAAATCAAGAAAAAAACAAAAGATTTGATCATAGTCATTTTTCTCATATATCAACATTGTAAAAGTTTGAAGAAGTAGAAGGGAGAGGCACCATTTCAATCCAAAGAGTTTACATACGCAAGCTAGGGAATGAATTAGTGATTTGATTGAAGTACTGCTTGGACAAAAAAAGGAAACAATTCAAATGATTTCTTTTTGCCTTGAAATTGATTGATTCAGTGATCCGATGTGATTCCAATCAAAGTTGATAAAAATTAAGTCTTGTTAGTGTTGTGCAATCAACTATCAAAAAAATCATGACATTAAATTGATCTATAATTTGGAAGTGAGACACCTCAATCAAATTCTGAAAGGAACCATCAAAAGGAACTCAGTTGTGTTACAAAATCAATAACTTAATTGATTCTCCTTATACATAAATTATCAATCAATCGGATGCCAATCAAGACAAACAACACAAAAAGAAACGATTGAGTCTTTTTAGTATCTATTTTATCTTTTATATGATCCATTAATCTATTGAAATAACCCAGTAAGAAGCTTACCTTGAATTAAAACACCAATATCAAGGTCCAAAACAACTTTTCAATCAAAGTGGTGTGAAATTGGTTGATCTGTCTGAGAAATGATTGATTTGATATAAAACATCGTACATTACAATATTGTCCTGATCCAAACTACTGCTTCCGGAGTAAGGTGGAAACATGCATCAATGATTTATTGAAAGTGGTATGAAGATAGAAAGTAATTAGTGTGAGCATCAGCTGGTCAAAACTCATAGAATTAGGCATCTAAAAGTGAAGGTTTTGTTGATGTTTGTCTGAATTCATAGTTTGCCTTTGATATGAACAAAGTGACATAGATCAAATCTTGTATTGAATTTTGAAAATGGTGATAATCATTTGGAAAGAAACTATCAGGAACAATCAGAATATGATGCTATCAAAGGAGTTGACGTTTGAAGAGGCCGAGTGATCTGGAAGTGTCTCAACCATCCTTCACTTTCAATTGATCATCAAAAAGGTTGGACTTTGATGTGGATGTTGATTGAGATGGATGCAACCCAATTTGATGCGTACAAAAATTAAAGGTGGAAGTTTTGTTAAGGATAAGAAAGGGTTCCCTCTGAAGTTGATCCAATTGGTGAGTTATTGAAACAAATCAAGTCGTGAGTATTCTTAAATTTGATGGTTAAGAGTTTGATGAATGGAAAACTAACATATGGAACCTTTCGCCATGCCTTTGTTGAACATGGCTGCATGAAAATCTTGTTCACAGTCATCACACGTCTAAAAAAGGTCAAGTCAATTGAAGTCGGTTATGATGATGTATGAAGACAGGTGATGAGAATCATGACTGACAGAATTTTGGAAATTCCTTCCAAGTCTTCTCAGACTCTACCACCGGTGGAAGCCGGTTGATTGAGTACTGGATGCTTAATGGTAGCATCAGTGGTGAAATGCCTATTCCAGAAAAGTGAAAACCATCCATCCAGAACAACAAAGATGAAATATGAGAAGTAGAACTTACTTCCTAACATTTGATTTGATCAATCTTACCTCTCATGGATCAGTGATGGATTGAACAACATCTCGGATCTGAGGAAATGATACCAAACAATTGGGAGAAATCATGACATCATGATTTGGGAATTGAGATGGGTTTGATAGGATATATTGAGAAGACTTTGAACCAATTGATTGAAGGTGGATGTGATTTAGATTCATAAGTTTGATTGATGATGATTTGAAAATCATCCAAGTAATATGAAGATGAAAGTTTGAAGTTGGAAACTTGGGCCATTCAAAACTTGTGGAGGTTTTGTTGAATTTTGTTTGAATTCATGTATCTCCTTTAATATGAAAATATGAAAATGATGATCATCATGAGTGATGTTGGGATTTCACTGATGAGTCAGACCAACGTACACATCATCAAAATTGACAATGATACATAAACTATCTTGGGTGTTGTTGGGTGAGACCCCGTTTTAGTTGAAAAATTTGAGCACATACAATTAGAGGGATTATGCAATTTCCAACGTAGCAAGTGTAGAGTAGGAGAAAGAGATCTAGGTGAATCCCAAAAAATTAGGCGAGGTGAATTTCCTGAAGATCCTTATGAAATGATGTTTGTATGGTGGGGAGTACGTGTTTGCAATTATGGATAGGCAGGAAAATAGAATTTGCAAAATAGGCTGAGTATGTTATTCATGGAATGCAGGGTTGAAGAAAGAATTCAGTTACGGTTGATCCGTTGATTGATGGATAAACCAATTCATAGTTGACCTTCAACTTGTAACTAGCCAAATTAGGCGGCGGGCGCCGCATTCACAATTCTATGAGCCATCTTATGATTCAGTGTATTTTCAAAGCTGTTACAATACCTATTCACTTCATCCTACTGTGCTACGTCACCCAATTATTCATTGTTTCTTGGTTACTGAAGTGCAACTATTTTTAATTTTACCCAACATAATATCTCCACTATACAAATTTTTTTATACCATAATCTTAGACTCTTGTCCCTCTGAAAGTTAACCAACTGGTTTGTAGTCAACACAATATATCACTGTCAGTTTCGAATTCTCCCCTGGTAAAATCAAACATACACCCTCTAAATATAAGAGACTTAATGAGAATTCCCTGCTAATACAAAGTCATTGAGTTTAGATAGCATTATTGACTTGTCTCTTTTATATGACACATCTCGACCGTTGGCTACCTACTTGATAGCGTAGCTTTATTTAACTCCTTGCATAAACAATTTCGTTATTGATATGAGGGATTTTATAATTTGAGCTCACAAAAAAATAGTGAAAGACCAAATTCTATAAAAAATGATTCGTAGTCGAAAGTGTTTGAGTCGAAAGAATAAAATGAAAAACAAGTTCAAAGAAAACGAACTTCGGTGTCAAACATTATCAACATGACAGAGACTCTAGGCAGAAGGTAAACAAAGAAACAAAATTCAAGCATATACAGAATGATCATTAATGCTCAAAAATAAGTTCTTATTTAAATTCGGGAACCAATCAAAATGAAAAAAAACTATGCGCTATGATGTGAATCGATTAAGTTTTTTTCTCATGTTTGTATTTGAATCTATCTTTAACTTGGGATTAATTACCAAAATCTTTTTCAAAGGCACTTACTCAGCTTCTATCCCCAATTTTGATATGAATCAAATATAGTTACTTACAATTGATCTAGAGCCTTCATTTACGTCTCTTGGCCTCATTCAGTGCTTCATAAGATCCTGATGGGTGCAAAAACCTACATCAGTTTTTACCCTACATTCAACCAAATCGCAATGTATGAGTAATACTTACCATTACCTCCGTATGGTTTATTCCAGATCTAAAGTGGCATTGAATGCCATATGGCTTGAACACTTGCAATAACTCACGGTCTTCAATTGGGTCACCACTTCCTGTTATAAAGATGAAGTGTTTCAATTTCTTCGCTTCTTTCAAGTGAGGTCCCCCACGTATCAATAAAACTCTCTCCCAATGACTTCTACTGCCGCAATAATTTATAATGAGAACTTCAATAGTATGAAAGAGCGACCACTCAAACCAAATCGGAAGATCACGTGAAGGATCGATATGCTTGCAGCGTACAATTCGAAGTTTGAGAAGGGCGTGGATCGAGAGCCGACGAGGAAGATCGTTTGGAATGGTATCCACAGTTAAGCCTTTGAGTGTATGTTGTAAACCCAGCAGCAACAATCTTGATTGCTCAGGTCGGCAAGTCGGTATGTATTCGAGAAGCTTAATGTCTTTAGGACCGTTTTGACAGAATTGACTGATGGCGTCTAAGTTATATCGATGACACTTAATCCATAAATGACGCAGGTTTGGTAACAAACCGGGTTCCAAGTTCAAGCGACGCAAAGCAGCTAATTTTAAAGATAGAGACTCTAACGAAGGGCTATAGTGTAATACCGCTGATAAGGATTTGGAATCATTAATAACTGCTCCTAACATAGTTCCTTCGATTGACAAAGTCTTGAGGTCTCTTATGCGCTTAATTGCAACCACCATACTATCCGAGAATCCAACTGAACGAGAAAATATTAATTTGAGATCTACCAATCTTGAACCACATAAGTTAACAATATCAGCTGCATCCGGCATCAAGATACAATTTGGCTCCCAACGGCTGTATTCGTATTCAAATTGGTCACTGAGCTCATCTGATAAAGCCATGTGATACCCGGTTGCTTTCGAAGCTGGGATAAAGAGAACTTGATTCAAGCACAGTCGACGTAAGTTCGTGAGGTTCGAGATGTTCAAACAGTTAATCCACATATTGACAAGATAACGATTGAAATTTGGTGTTCTTAAACATAAGGAGCTGTAGACAAATCGTGGAATAGCTGCAGCCCAAGATCTAGCGAGCAGTCTTAGTTGAAGCAAATGTACTATTGAAGAGTGAATCAAGAATGATTGGTCTGCGCCATTTGATGGCTCAGTAGTTGTTGATGGATAGATAATACAGAGGAAACTAATGATGTTTTCTACTACTTCTACTGGCAGGGGACGTGAAGAAACCATTGTTTGTTAAACTACCGTCTAAGAAAGATTTGGACGAATTGAACGTAATAAACTTGATGAAGCTTTCAACACCTCCTTTTTTATTTTTTATAACAAACTTCTGAATTACTCAGATACGAAAGACTTGCACTTTGTTATTTTTGGAACAACAGCATATCTATTCGCCAACTTATGCTCGCGACTATCCCTTATAAGTAGTTCCTCGAAGCCTCTTGATTAGGAGATTTCTATGCACTGAAGCACAAATCTGTAGGTACACTCTGTCCTGCTAACCATAGGTGCTACTTTTGCGCTACATCGTTAATTTACAATACTTAGTAGATCCAACATTATCATTTGTGCTCGTCATTATGAGGAACTTCAGCAATGTGAACCATATACCCCTGCTGTTTTAAATTAGATCAAGGAGGTTGGGTAAGTTTATTCACCCGAGTTGTTTTATGCTCTCGAAATTTCAAATCATTATTTCTATGAACAAATATTTTCACACGTATTGCTTCTGCTTTGGTATAGGAGTAGAACACCAGGTTAGACTCACACTGAGTCCGGGTTTTGCTCTATTACTCATAGTGAAAATCTGCTCACCAAAGCGTTTTTGTCAAATTGAGGCCTACGGCCTTGGTCTTATGCAAATCTGTTCTCACATTGATTGCTGGATATACCTGAGCTGCTAAATCTTTCAACAATGGCTCGCTTATACCCTGATTGCGAGCACTTTCCCTTGATTACCTAATATATTAATAAGAGCCACTTTAAACTTCTATACATAAACCGTAATTGTTCCAAGTACGTTATGACCATGGGCACGCCGGGTTTTATGTTTTGGCACCATGTTCCCCTGTCATACGCACCTTTGCTTTGCCGTTAAACTCCAACTAATATACATTCAAGTTATGAATCTAATTCATACTCATCTTGTTATAGAGTTGCAACTTCGGTGCAGGCACCGTATTCAAACTTGGCTTTTTGTTAATACGCATTTCTCTGAAGCATTGATTGGAACTTTCTTTTCTTTATCAATGCATGCCTTATAAAGATGCCTCTCACATGTATTACAATTAACCTCACTCGCTACACCTCTAGTATTATACTAACAAAATTTTAATGAACAAGATCAGAGATCTTTACAAACAATGCACGGACTTGTCGGAGGGTTTTGCCTACATGGATCAATACTTTTTAGTTATCAATATTGCTCCACTGTTAAAGACAATTGAACTCACTTTGATTACTAACACCAACTTTGTGAATTCAAATTCCTGGTGTTGAATCAATTCACTACTCTATTCTACGTTCTTCCACTGCCGTACCTGCACCCCTTCCGAGTTCCCCTATTCCCTTCTGATAAACAACAACTTAACTTCTATCAGCATGCTGGTCAAAGAAAAAAAACACTTATCAATAATTCCTTACCAGTATTTCATAATGCGACAACCTAGTCTTGAAATGACAACCTATACCAAGAGTCTTCAATCTTTCGGTTAATACTTCATCCTCTATTATATACTTTTTGTCAACTACAAAGATCATATGCTTCAAACCTGGCGGCAATGGTAGCTCAAGGACTTCAATGAATTGCTTTCGCCATTTACTATTGCCTTTATGGTACTGAGTAATTAGAATTTGCACACCTCGAAACATAGGCCAACTGAACCAGTCTGGATGCTCAATCAACCCATCAACGTATATGTTCCTTATGACACGCAGTTTTGGAAATTCCATCATTTGTAGATCGTAAGGTATGTAATTTGGCAAGCTATCCATAAAGAATACTTCTAATGTAAATCTAAATGCTACGATTAGTCTTGTTGAATAAGCTTCATAATATGTTGGCATCACTTCTAAGACTTTGACTGATCTGCCTTTGACTTCACAAAATTCACTAATCGCTCTGATGTTTTGTGGATGGCAACCGACCCAAAGGTGAGTCAATTTTGGCAGAGCCCCGAGGTCCAATTTCAACGACTCTAAAGTACCAAAATCTAAAGATAAAGATTCCAGTGCTTTAGTTTCATTCAATACTGCAATTAAAGAGTCTGAGTTATTGACACCATTATGAAATTTATTGCCTTCCACCCACAAAGCCTTTAAGTTCTTAACGTGCTTTATTGCTAGGATTAGATTATCCAAAAATCCAACTGAACTCGTAAATTTTATCTTAAGACTTGTCAAACTCGAACCGCAGATATTGATTATTTCGGCAGCATCTTGAATACTAATTGATTTTGTTTCAAAATGTTGGTACTCTAATTCCAGCTCCTTAAGACTTTGATCACTGATACGGGCGCAGAAAGACCCCGCACCAATATCCGCCTGATACATAACTCGGTCTAAAGTAAGTTGGCTTAGATGTGACATTTCCGAGACAGACAGATTGTTGCATCGTAACTTGTTCAAGAAGCCTTCAGCATAAGGAAATGCTAAATTCAACGAGCCATACACCGCACGATGAATAGTGCTCGCCCATCCTTTGTTCAACAATCGAAGTCTGAGTAAGTTAATCATGGCGTCTTGATTCAGAAAATCGACTTCGGCACTATTGTATTGATCGGCCTCTAAGTATGTTTCTTCATGACATAAGTGAAATACGATAAGCTCTATTACTTCTACTGGAAGTGATGGTGTTGAAGACATGTCTACCTGTCTTGAGTTTGGAGTCCAGGCATGAGCTGATGAATAACCGATTGAGATGTAAGCTTTATTCTCTACATTGAGTAGGGACATTCCCAGCATATAAGCTTCGTCTCGCCAAACATACCACTATTTCTTAGTTACCCGAGTTTTCACTGCGTACTCCAACTTCTTAATTTGAATTTACTCTTCAGTTAACATGGGGTTTATTATTCAATATGATAGTTACTTTTCATAGTTTTCATTCCCAATCCGTCTTGTGTGGCGGCTAAACACATCATTACTATGCCTTCTGAGTCTCTTTGGCATTAATGTTTACTTTTACGTTCTTAATTCATAATTGTGTTTTTCAGAGACTCATTTAACTCCTTTTGTATTTACAATGTTAGGGATCCTTTTGTTATTCAGTTATTACGAAATACTTACCCTTCAAGCTCATATTTCGGAAGGTAATTTAGTTACGAATTCCAGCTATGGGACTCAGAAGTGAATTAACGAACAATGTATGCTTGAGCTTGAGACACATGCGCAAGACAAAAGCTTCTAATCAAGACGTCACTAAATACTATGAATTCAAAATTGATACTTAAATTACTTTGCTACAACTCTAAGGACAATCAAGTACTGGTCACTGTAATTGATTAATTAACACAGAAGTACCTATTTTCATATATCCGTCTCAACGCCTCCTGTGGTGCCAATTTTGATTATTCTACATGGTACAACAATTTTAGGACAAATAAGTTTTACTATCCGCGAAACATAGATCACGAATGGAAGTGGCCAAATTTAAATTACGTACCAATTTCACCCAGAGTTCCCCAACTACTGCTGTTCTTCAATATCCAACTCTTTTACACAACTCTGTTAGGGGAAGATCTATAGTTAGTTCAATTCCATTAACTCTATAATTCATAACGTGTTAGTCAACTTACTAATATCTCAGTATGAGACATCTCCGTACTGAAACAACAGCCAATACCATGTGCTTTAAATGCAGCTACTAAATCAAAATCCCACAGAATCTCCCCTTCTCCAGTAAAGAAAATGAATTTTTTCAAGTTCACTGCTTGTGCTATTAAATATGAATTGCTACCAGTCATAGTCTCGTACCAATAATCTCTAGTATCTGAATAGCTAGTAATAAATACTTCAATTGTTTGAAAGAAGCTCCATTCCAACCATATTGGCGGACTTGCCAATGTATCAATTAACATAAAGCGTAAACTTTTCAATTTAGGAAAACATACGTTATAAATAGTTGGCGGAATTTCATCAGGGAGACTGGTAACAAAGAGGCCTTCTAAAGTATTCTGAAGTGCACAAATTATCGGAGTCGGGTCTTGATTCAAGTTCACTGGTACGTATTCCAGTAATCTAATATGCCTCCCTGCTCCTAAGCAGAAATCACGGATAGCATCAATGTTACCAGGGTGATAGGTAATCCATAAGTGACGTAAGTTTTGTAAAGCTTCAATTTCCACATTGAGATGTTCTAGATTTGCGAGTTTTAATGATAAAGACTCCAATGATGCTACGTTGTTTAACACTGCTGCTAAAGAATCGCAGTCGTTCAGTGTACTTTCCATAACAGTACCTTCAATTATTAACTTCTTGAGACTACTGATTTGTTTTATTGCTACGACTAAATTGCTTGAAAACCCAATAGCACCATGAAATGATAATTTTAAGTCTGTTAGATTTGAACCACATAGTTCAATGATATCTGTTGCATCCTGCATCGAAACCCAGTTTGGCTCTTCTAGTTCATGATTGAATTCGATTGGTTCCAGAGTTTCGTTTGGCAGTGTAAGATCCAATTTGGAGTGTACGCTTTGTATATACTTGAGCTGATCAAAAGAAAGTCGTCGTAATGAGGAAATATTTGTGGCAACCATCAAAAACTCCCACATCCTTGTAACATAACGCTCAGCCCAAAGAGATTTCAGATTTAATGATGTATAGATAAATGGTGGTACTGCGATTGTCCAAGATTTTGAAACTAATCGCAAATCTAGTAAATGTTTGACTGATGTAATTGTCAAAAATGAGTTGTCAGCGCTGTTCATTGGATTAGCGGGTACTACCACTGATGTAATTGTCAAAAATGACCTATGATGTGTTCTACAACTTCATTAGCGGGTACTACCTCTATACTATTATAAACAAAACCTATGATGTGTTCTACAACTTCAACTGGTAAATTAGGAGATGGATGCATTTTATACGTCGTCGTACTCAATTTCGAAAATCTGATGGCTTATTAATGTGCAGGGATAGCGATCTATGGTACGTCTAATCAAATCTTGGGGTAGGAAAAATCTTTGTTAACTATTTATATTTTACATCATAGTCAATATATTTTCCGCTGTCTGAAATGACAGATCTACAACACAGGTTATCCCTGCAGGCTCTGAATGAAAAACAGTTCAAACACAGTAACTACGATTCTCATGATTCCCGCTAATCTCATCAGTATATTTGATTGGCATCCGAGATTTAATTGCTCGTGTTGCTGTCGTAAGCTGTTTCTTCGAACGCCACTGTGGATGTTCATAACCCCCAACGAATCGAAGAGCTTCAGGACTAAATACGCAGCTATCATATTTATCAACTAATCGTGAGAAAGCTGAATAAAGTATCTGGTTATCGGGAACATAACTTACATCTTAATGGTACTTTGTGATAATTGTAGGAATAGTCTTATAAGTTCGCATGATGGTAAGTATATCCCGCAAACCACTCAGAGTCTACACGTGTGGGCATTCCAATACATGATTTTCTTCATGTGGAGTAGTTAGTGTCATTGCTTTTGAGATTCCTCGTCTATCACTGTTTGGGTGTCAAATATATAAGTTTCAACGTTTTTAGAGTAAACACAACGCTGGATAATGATAGTTATGTTATTTCACTTTGCCACTACTGTGATTTGATTTTCTCAGCAAGAGGAATACCCGTCACCTCAGTGCCTGACTCGTAAGTTCTCCATTCCATAATTCTAATGTACTGCATGGATTCAGACATTTAAAAAAATGCAGCGAAGCTAACGATGTCCAAGTAGTGGTCAACTGAATATAACTATGTCTCAAGATTCCTCGTTTTATACTTATGTTTTCGAATTGAAAGATTACCCAAAATTGGTTTTATAATACTCTCAATATCTGAATTAATATTTACTCAGCAAATGTCCCAAATTATAATCATTTTTAAAGCAATCATACATCTCACGGCTATTCTTTAATCATATATCAGATGCTAAATACAGTCAAGTCATAATGTATACTAAATTGTTTCACTTAGTTTTTAATTAGTAAATGAATACGATATTTACATAAGAGAAACTTGGACATCAAGACAATTTTAAATTAATTTTGAGCTCGAAAACCAACTCAAAATACTCTACCAACTCCTTGATCTAAACGTGCTGATACTTTAAAGTTATTGTTTGACGTACAACTATTAATATCCCTCATTTTATATGTCTGCTACTCTATCTACCTACCTCTCTTTATATGATTACATAGATGTCGATACATGACATCAATCCTATACTGAGCCATTTTCCTAGTTGCTATCTTCAAAGTATATATAATATGATTTATGCAATAGTTTCCCTTTGACCACATTGTTTCCATGCTACGGGCTTGTTAAAAACTGAAAAAGTATAGTCGATATTCATTGGTTTGTTAGCCGTATTCAACATTATGCAATAATCAAAAGCTTACATTGTACCAACTCATTATTTTTCATTATGAGATGTTTAATATAGGGTGAAACACTACGTTATTGGTCACTTTTTCGTGGGTGTTCGAGATAATGCAAACGTTTACATTACATGCCTTTGTACACCTTGATAGTGCGACGTATAATTGTCCATGGGAAAAGACTGATTTCGGGAGGACCACTGTTACTCGTTCAAGGCTTTGGCCTTGGCTTTTATTTATTGTCATGCAAAATGATGGCATGATCGGGAATTGATAACGTGAGAAAGGAATTGGGCAATCTTCACTGCCATCGTGTTTGAGTCTAATTTTTGGCAAACTTATGGATGTTCCTTTTAAATACCCTGTTAGAATTCGGCACTGTAAAGCATGTGGTCGATAATCTGTGATCAAGAGTCGGGTACCGTTGCAAAGCCCGTTTGCTAGGCTTAAATTCCTCAATACCATAATAGATGCGCCGACCCTCAGTTTGATCTTGTGATGTGGGAATCCTGCGAAATTGAAAGTATTTAAAACATCGGCTGTCACTGGATCTATATATGCTTCATCCATGAGGTCAATGGACTTTGAGGTATATTCATGGCCTGGTAGCGATGCCATTATGTATTCGTTCATGGAATTAACCGTAGCATTCAAAGGTGTTATTATACAGCGATTGGAGTACAACTCCGTTAACTCTGCCCATCTTTGTTCGATATTTAAATTCCTAGCTCCGCCATAATCATCTTCCAAAAGCGCTACATCCCACATAGCTGGTGGTGGTATGAGAGATACGTTGCAGTGCTGTAATTGAATTGCGGCAGTGTGAGAAGTTTGTAGCCTTCCGGATCCTAGGTCTAACAGCCACTTCGCGAAGTTCACGTTATCTTGGTTGGGGTTAGCTTCTAATGCTCCAAGTCAAATATTCCTTGTCAGTGCAAAGCGATGTATTAAACCCCATAAATATGAGGCTTTCAATGACGCCTGGGCTTGTGCCATCAAGTTACCCCTTCGAACAATCGGTAAGGTTTGCCGGAAGTCCCCTGCAAAAAGTACAATCTTTCCACCGAAAGGTAGATCAACACCGGATAACTCTCGTATAGTTCGGTCCACAGCTTCAATAGCATGTTTATGTTGCATAGCAACTTCGTCCCACACGATGAAGCGCGTTGACAGTACCTTTTGCCCCCCACTACTTAACTCGAACCCACAAATTGAGTCGTTGTGTACAGGAATTGGGATTTTGAAGGCGTTGTGCGCGGTTCGCCCATGTAAGAGCAGCAGTGATGCTATACCAGCAGCAGACACAGCTTCGAAAGCAAGGTGGTTGGCATTGCAAAAATGTAGAATGCAATTTAAGACAAATGTCTTTCCGGTTCCACCAGGGCCATCTAAGAACGCCAAGTAAGGCCTCTGATCAACTATAGCCTCACAAATTTTCAAGACCACTTCTGTTTGCTCATTAGTCATGACACGTAGCATAGAACTATATTTCCTAGCACTCTCTTCAGGTGTAATTAAATTTGGTCTATTTCTTTGGTCCTCATCCGGCAATTCTAACTCGAGTAATAATTCCTCATCAACAGGCGGCATATCAAGGTTCTCTAGAGTCGTATCCATTGCTAGTGTAATTTTCTCTAGGAGGAATAAGCCATAGTTTTGAATATGCCGCTCAGTTGGTCGAGCTCGAGGGTTCAATTGTCTAATCGCGTGTGCGCAATCGTCCGTTAATTCGTGAATGTGTCTTGCCCATAATTCACGAGGCTCAGCTGGAGAACTGTGAATTAATATAATTGCCAGCATGTGTCGTAACTGTCTGCCGGTTTTCCACGTAGCAGCTTCAGTTATGGAATCATGGTAATGTTGATCATCCAATAAAAGTCCGAGCCTGCTGGCTGTTTCACGGAAACTGTTGAGTCGCACCCCATCGACAGTACACAGATCATTGAAACAGCATGGGCCAGCTATGCGAGATAACAGCAAACGGAGGTAGTAGACTTCTCCTCTTCGGATGTTGGCAAAGTATACACGCCCGATCGACTGAAGGCTATTACGTCTGGGTTCCAAACGTCGCTTCTTTTGGTTCCATGTAAAGAATCTGGGTACCTCTTGATACCAGAGAGACCGTATCGTCTGATCTGACCCTCGCAGTGGGGCATTCTCTGAGCAGAGCCTAAAAAACTCCGTTAGAGTTGTTCTTTCGGCTCTCCCAGTTTCAATGGCACGCCGTAGGCCTGCTTCGTCTATAAAGTACACCGTTTGTTGATATTCCAGGTGTAAACTTAAGCGTTGGACTGCTGGGAATCTTCCTGATAACTCAAATTTCAAAAGCCGCCAAATGGCTATCAAAGATTAATCAATTAGCTATCTCTAGTTTGGTTTTGAGATGTATATGAGACAGACCCTACCTTCTGTGGCTGACAAAAACCTTGCGTTAATGTAAGTCAAGATCTCATCATTATCTGGATCATCAACAGTGGCCATCGTTCTATCGTGGCCTTTAAGTATGTACTTAAATAGGTATTTAATCGCTCGAATGCTGGCTGCGACTTCCACGTTTATGTGGCATCCGTATTTCAGAGTCAGGAATCTGTTAAAAGGTACGACACTCCGGTTATCGTAACGGATACGGTCTTTGTTGAAATGACGTCCATTGTCTCGCCTTCGGTACGTTGGATAAGCGTCTTCCGCAAGTTCAGTCTCAACGCAAAAGTTTCGAGGATAGCCTAATCGACACTCAGACCCTGTCCAGCACTTATACTGCTCGCAAGGTCCATGTAGCATAAATTTTGTAACTAATCCAAATAACTCTGTTTCGGTGTCTGGATCCGGGAGTTCTGCTGATATCATACAGTCAACTTGGTGAGGTGTAGTAGGCCTATCCGAGTGCTTGAGAAATAGAATCAAATGTACGTGAGGTAGTCCTCGCTTTTGAAATTCCACTGTATAGACGTAAGCTGAACATTTTCCAAACCGCTCTTGCTTCGTGACATCTTCAAGGAGAGCATTAAATTTTAAATGGAAGACTCGCGCCACCAGGTCTGGTCGATCTTCAGCTGTTTGACCTTCTTCGAGTGCTTCAATAATTTCTGTCCACTGCGGATTTGCAGTCATAGTTATAAATAGGCTAGGGTGCCCAAATTCTGCGACGAGGGTCATTGCATCCTGATAAAGTTGTTGCATATGCCGAGGGCTGCCAATGAAAGTTGATGGCAAAACAACTCTTCGACCCACTACTTTGTCGTCCAATTCATTATCCAAAGCTTCGATAGCGCCGCTATACAGCTCTGCTCGAAGTTCCCTCTGATGAAACCGAATGTATTGTAACCGTGAGTGTTTGACACACACATACATGTCAACTGCAAATTCCTGGAATAAACGTCCTGCTGCTAGTATAATCGAGAAAGCATCCCTTTTGAAGAGGAGGTATGCAAACCACTCCAGGTTTGTAACAGTGCCGTCAGGTCCTATTAGCGCAGGCAAAGCTGGGTTTTAATTAATTCTCGTGTTGTAGAGCAGTTCGTGGAAAACTCACGATCATCAGTTGGGTTGCAGAACCTCTTGTGCCACGTCTGGGACCCATAAGGGAAAAGCAGAGGATATCGCAATGCGAAATATGCGGTGTGTAGTTCCGATATTTGCTGCATGTCGCCAGTTTGGCGCTCCAAGACTATATCACGTGCTTGAGATCCAATTTCGCCATCTCCTTCTACTATAGCTGCAACTTCGTTCGCAGTCGGGAGATTGTACCGCCGGTGATCCGTACCAGGTGCGCTTATGGTGTTTATGCGAAGCCGACATGTATCTCCTTCATTACATATAGCATGAGCAGCTCGGAAGACCTCTGTATAAGGGTTGTTTAAATCCATGAAATGCTGAAATAATAACAAGATTTCGGTATTTAATTCGTAATTGAAGTGTGAGTTTCTTGCTTGGACTTCAGCTTCTCCGCCTCCGCCATACACAAAAATCTGTGCAAATCCTGGATGATTGCCAGGAAGTGGCATTAAGGAACCGATTCTGTGAGATAATTGACCGGAGATTCGAAATGTGTAAACCCCACGCTGGCCCATTACCGACCGATCAATATTAGCTCCAAGGGATGTAAATGACATAGCGTTATTATATTTGCGCATCTGAGCTCGAAACTCTACGCAGACTAAAGAAAAAGTGAGATTCATTTCGATATCAAATTGAAGATATTGACATACCTTGATCTGGGGATGTCAGAAGAACACGATAGAACGGAGGTACATCCTGTCCCGCGTCGTTGGCAAAGTACCGTAGTGGCAACTCAATTTGGCCGTGTTGGCAGCAGTTTCCGTAAGTACTGCTCAATAAATTTGCGTCTTTGATCCGCCTTTCTGTTTTCCACCTAAATGCTCCGCATTTCGCGCACTTGTCTGTTGGTTCACCAATGTTGTGAGGGATCTCTCTATGAAAACGAGTACGTAAACTGGTTTCGCTAGCCATCGCATCTGATCGAATTGCTGGTCCCTTTCGAGCGCGATGGGGGGGCATCAGACAGAAGTCGAAGATAATTTATGTATTGGAAGGTTTTTATCCTTTGAAGGGGTTAAAATTATTTTAAAGATAAGTTTACAATTCCATTAACAGCGCGAGTTCTATGACTATTGTAGTTGAGTACTTACTGGGACTTTGTGAGTATGTAGTCTTTGAAAATCACTCTGATATTCCGGTCTCAGTCGTATGGTGATTCAATGTCTAGTAATATTTTGAAGAAGTATAACTTGATTGTTAATTGAGTTACGATATGAGTCGTATCAAAAATGATCTTCAAGCCGTGGAGGACAAATTCGGTTGAGGTTTTATGTTACTGTGGACCAACACATGCAGCATATAATAGCAATCTTCTTCGAGTTTTGGTTTGCTTTTGTGATTTTTTTAGTCTTATGGTTGATAGGTGCAATTCTTTATAAGGTGGTGTAATATCCATGTCCTGAGACAATCATATAATCTTGTTATTGCTAGTTTCTTAATTTCTACAAGACCCCGAAGTGACATCATCAATTTTCCATTACAACTCCATAAGATTTCAATAGTATCACAGATGCCCGAATTACTGAGCTGCTTCCTAATCAAAATAGGGAATGTGGATTCATTAAAATGGTACTTTGTGCTGCACAACAGAGGTTTGTTGGTTTCGACTCCCTATGTAACACTGAGAAAACTTTTCTTCCTTCTTCACCAATTATATAGGCGGTGGTAAGGAAATGGCGATCTCTTTGAGACAAAATCATCCTGAGCATTGCAGCAAGCAGCTTTGAAAAGCTTTTAATACTTGTAGTCGGTAACTGTTTGGTCCCCCAAGGCAATCATCATGTAGAGCGACTTCTGGTTTTCGATGAAAATGTATCTGTGAAGACAGGTCGTTAATGCCGGGTACTGATTGCTCTTATCTACGAGTTATACGTTAAAATTGTAGCTTCGATCGTTGCGTAGATCTTATAAAATCGTGACTTTCAAAGATCCTTTAATAGGAGAATTTTCAAAAGCGGTGGCTGTGCATAGATTTCGAGAGCAGATAGTGTAGGAACATAAATAACTAATAAGCATCTATTGCCAATACACTTAATCCCATAAGTCTTTGTTTTAGTCAGCGATTCGAGGTTCAACAACAGTTCAGTGTCTTTTCATTCAACATTAACCAGTATCACACTATTGTCAAGTTCTCACGTTAGTTGGCAAGCTCACGAAGTTCCTTTAGCAAGAGGTTTAACAGGCTGCAGCATTATAATTATTATTCAATCTCGAATATTGACTGAGTTTCACAAGTAAACAGCGTCTTCATTACATGATTGTAAAGCAGATGGATTGGGGATTAGGAAAATGAAGTATTGAAAATAATGAAATGACACAAATGAAATAGTTGATCTCGATGAAACTTTACAAATTTAATTAATGAAAAAGAATTGCGCTGTTTCACTATTAACAACTCATGACTACTTTTATTGAAGATAGTTAACTCGTTATGCTATTTTTTTTTGAATCATGATTCGAATTTGAGATTCACCAGGTGCTTTTTTTATTAAATATACTGTAATCAATGGAGAGCCTTTGCCTCGAGAAAATCAGAGATTTGCTTCGTAGAATAAAACTCTAATGTTCAAAGTCATGATCATGTGTATTAAGAATTAGAGTAAAAAAAATTTTTAGGAGCGCCCACTATGGCGCTAGACATACGGTGGATTGTGACATTAATCTTCCAAGCTCAAATCGAGGGCTTTGGCTTTCTTGCCTGCGCGCTTTGGTTGAGCCCGACTCCTCTTCTTACCAAGGGAACCTGAGTCTAAGCTAGGATTCACAGCATCAGATGAGTTGGAAGATTCGCCTGGAGTTGGTCTTGAAGATGCAGAAGAGAAAGAGGAGGGTCCGAAATCTGCGGGTCCAAATGTTAGATTAGAACCTGATTCCGAATCTGTAGCGATAACTGGGGACTTGAAAGGCGCATTGACAGGTGCTGGCGTGAATCTGGTGTTTGAAACAAAATTAATTGCCACAACAAATACCACGAAGAGTATTTCTAACTCACTTAACGGGCTTGTTTTTTGATGTCACCGCTTTGACTTCGTTGTTATCTTCATTGCTAGCTTTGGCTCCAACCTCGTATTCTTTACTACCGGTAGTTGGTGAAACTTTGCTTGCCTTCATTTTAAATCATCAGAGTTTTGCAGTTGATTGTATTAATCAAACGCGACTTACAATTACTACATACAGAAAGTTGACCTCATCAAAGTCCTTGAGAAATCCATGGAATTGATATTCACGGCTGATTCTTAGTATTTTCGGGGTACCAGCCAAGTTGCGAGTTGGCGGAATTCGATACTGAACTTTACATTGTCTCGGTTCCTTTGACTAAGCATATTTGCAATTAGCTATAGCTATGAGGAGAGTTCAAATTAAAACTCACAATTGGGTGGTAATCCGAGTGAAGCACGGTAACAATAGTAACAATCTTTTCACCGTCGGCTGGGTTTGGCTTGCATCCGTTAGTGATAGGCTCGGGCATCTGGTCAATAGCAGTTACAATGCCAACTCCAGTTACACCAATTGAATCAACCAGATCGCCGCTGAAAGTCTCAATTGGTCCAATCAAAACACGATCCGACGCCTCAAAGAATAGCAAATCGTCCTTAGTCTTGTCTGTATTAGATGGGAAAAATGAGCCTCTCAAATAATAAATATTACCGGCTTTGAGCTTGAACTGGGCGTGGCTGAATCCCTTAGCTTGAATCTCATAACTCATCCGGCGTTTACGGTGGGCACCACCAGCCCCCATGCAAAGGGCGTAGGTTCAATACTCTAAATGCCATCCATTCTCTGGTGACAACTATAACATGTTTGGAGTGCCGTTAGCTAAGTGATGATGTCATAAATCTGGAGCAGTGTATTACCTTTTTCTCGACCTCGAAGTTCCCTGTAAGATACAAACCGTGGGTTGTTGATTCACTTGGGTCAGCCATCGTAATTATTAAGATTTGTGACGGTCTCTTATGATTCGAAGCTGAAAACAAGTGTTGTCAACGTTTATATATCTTGGAAACTTTAAAAAGAGGATTGAGCATCATAAAATGCTAACCAACTCGGATTATAGTTCACGTATGAGAGAAATTCGAGATGCTGATAAGGATTTGCTCTGGATTGACTATTTGCTTAGCTGATGAGTTTAGTGACTTTGAGGACAAAGCGAAAAGTGAGTGATTGTTGCTAGCTTAGCAGGTTTTCGTGTAAAGCCGGGGTCTAACTCACATTTTACTTGCATATTTTCAGCACGCAGAATAAATGATATTAAGTATGATAAGCTCAAGTAATGGAAATTTGGAGCAGGTGAACTAATATGGATGCCTTACTGAGCTTCTGGAGACCATGGATGAGTAGCTGGCGTTGGGATTTTGAGGTCTAGCGTTTCTTTGTAATCCTTTGACGAAGTATAATTTATTGTGAAGACAATAATGAGTGGTGAGGTTGTAACTGCGAGCTAAACTTTAGGGGAATTAGAAGAATAATCAGGATATGGAAATTGAGGAAACTCGGAAGCAAAGGACTGGTTCTAATCAGAAGACTGACTCTAATGAAGGGATCAGAAGACTGACTTTATGTCAAAGTCAATAATGTTGAAGCCAATAAATAAATTCTTAGATGGAGAAGTTCCAAGACCGTGCTCGGTTTGCTTCTCTATATATAGTAAAATGATGTACGAGAAGCCTGTTTCAACTACGGTGATCGACAATTCGGCTTGGAGGTCCCTTGATCCGACTTCTGAAACAGTTCGCACTATGGAGATGGATCTAACTAATGTCAAAGTTGGGAATTTGATGTACCACTCATATAACTTTGTTGTTCGTGTGATTCGCGAAATGCGAAGTTGATGTAAAACAATTGTCGACTCAAATATGTCTTTAGATTTTCATTTATTCAAACTCAAGTATTATCATGATCTGTAATATTTATATGAATTATGTTTGAGATGATTTGGAGTAACTAATATCAGTAAATCTAAGCAAGCGAGCTATGGTCGAAATTGGGGTGGAAATCTAGTTATTAATTGGCTATCATTTGTACGGAAGTTGGGGAGCTGTAGGTCCAATTAACTGAAATCGTAGTTAGCAACTTTCTTCCGAGGTGGAGGAATCAATTGGTCACTTCGGCTAATGTGAGTGTTCGTAGGAGGTAGTTCCCATGAGATTGCTTCGATATTTGAAGGTTTGATCAGATAGTGGTTGGTGTGCTCGAATCAAAGGTCTTGAGGAGTGATAATCAATAAATGCCACATCTTGAAATTCTGAACTTAACGAGGAGTGATTTCACGGTTGAGTTCATTTGGAATGGGGCGATCACATTTTGAACTACACCCCGGGTTAAAAATATGTCGTAGTCCGGACCTGCCAGTTTAGTACGCAAACGAGTTTTTACGTGTGGCCACAGTATTTGGATAACTGTTCATGACGGCTAAGCCAGTGATAACGTGGTGACTACTCCTATAGCAGGGTATTACGTGAAGCATGGAAGAAAGCAACTCTTATCCCAGTCCCTCAAGTAAGTGAATCAGATCACGTGTTATCAAAGCTCAGCAGTTGGAGCAACAATGTGGCACGTTTAGGTCCTTTTAGCTAGTACAAAACCGAACTATGCAAATTGCAACCGCAATGTTAATGTATACTACGAATTTCATTTTGTATTGTCGTGATCGCAGAGCTAATAGCAAAATTACTGGTAGTTTTGAGTCTGAAGTAAGATGAATAACAAGGAGCAAGGAAAACAAAAGGTCATAACACAAAGCTACAGAGACAGCCTTAAATTGTGAGGAAAAGCACGATGATTAAGTAGATGAGAGTATCGTATTACGGTGGGTCTTGACGAGTATTATAGAAATATGTGGTATACCACGGCTTTGGAGCTCCATTGTGAGACAAAATAGTGTAAATTGACTACAGTTACGATGTTGAATATTGGTCAAAGTGCAGGGGTTAAAGAAGGGCAATGGCTTGTCTGGGTAACCTGCGAATCGAGAAAAGCGTAATGTGTCAATGCCTCATTTATGACAAGCTACTGGCGCAAGTGAAAATTGTTGACTGACAGTTTTTGTATAACTTTTGAGATTGCTCGCAAGTTAATGGACGAGGCGAATCCACTACCTCATGCAGCACTAACCCGGTTGTGTTTCTGCCGAGCAAGGTAACAACGTAATGATCATTAGAAGGCAAACAACAATAAGAATACGAGCAACTCCAAAAACTCACGATTTGGGGACCTTAGAATTATTCGTGAATTCGTTATCAATGGCTTCAAGTACTACACGAATTTGGGAAGCAATTTGTTCAAACGGGGTTGTAGTAGTGACATCTGTAAGTGGAGTAGAGACTTCCAAAGTAGGTACTGAGTTTTTTGGAACACAATTACATAATTAACTGGACCATGTAGATTATTAATTTTTTCTAATGCTACTTTATACGCCATATAACATTTACGAGAGAAGACTTCAAATTGTTCATCTACCTCAGCATACATCAAGGATACAAGTATTTGGAAAGAGGTTTATAGAACAATAAGTAATAATTAATGGGTGTTGAGGTGAATCACTGGAATGGGAGCTGAGGGTTTTGGGGGTGGGGGTTGCGTGTGTTATCACACTATTTATGTTCTACTGTTGCAAGGGAGAATTGGTATTTTCTAATGCGTCGTAAGTTGAAGGAGTTACTGATAACAGCAGATGGTGGGATTTGAGTTTAGTAAGTGAATAACGCAAATAGTTGGTGCTGATTTGGGTAGTGGAGCAAATTTGGGATTCCTTATTACCCGTCATTAATATTTTTCTAGCTTTTGAATTGGAAGAGATACATGTGAAATATATACTATAGGATTGAGGTGTCGCGTGAGGTGTCGGGTAAATCTTTGAATCTTTGAATAGATGAAAAGGGAGTAAATTGTAGGGAAATCTTTGTGGAATGAGTAGTTGGAGGGGGACTTCGGGTTGGTGGATTACCTAGGGAAGGGGATAGGCTTGGCATGATGCTAATTTCGAGTAGATTATGAGACAAAGGGGAGTTGTCAAACAGTGTAGTAGGTTAAAGTGGGGTCATTAGGTGAAGATACGGATATATAGAAGATTGGCAAATTAAAGTGAAGTACAGTAGAGTAGTTACATCGCGGTAGTGATTTGTTGGATACACCAATTCATGGTTGACCTTTAACTTCTAATGATAGACTCCTCAGCAAAATCTGGTGTCAGAACGCGGTAATCGCACCACAACTGAAAAAGCCAGAACTTTACTCCGCCAGTCAAACTTACCCTATGCCTTCTGGGGGGAAGCTGTCACCACAGCGGTGTTTCTCGAGAACATCACACCTGCCAGAATCACTAACAACAAATGCGTGTATGAGTTGTGGTTTGGTCGCCCCTTTGACTACTCAAGGTTGAAGCCTTTTGGCTGTCGAGCGTACGTATTGATTCCAAAGCAGTTTTGATGGAAGTTTGATAATACGTCGATGAAAGGCATTTTTCTAGGATATCAAGTAGGGATGAAAAATTACCGTGTAAGACTTGAAGATGGTCGCATCATTTACTCACACAATGTTACCTTTGACTGCACGACCTTCCCAGGCATCAAAGGAACAACACAGACTGATGAAGAAGGACTCAACAATCTCTTCAAAAACAATTATGTCCTTCCAGAAGACACTGTCGACAACGTCACGCCTGACACGTCTGTATCAGAGGAACAGTCTTCTGACACAACTCCTTTTCACACCCCCATTCCCTCCCAGTCTTCAACGCCCGTGAACCCGGCACCTACCTCACCACAAGTCAAAGAAGAACCTCCTATCCCAACTGATGAAGATTCTAACGACGATGAAGACATTGCTCAACAACTCACGGATCGGGCGAGACCTGGATGGGACTGGCAACTGAGGGGAGACGCACCAAACGACATATCCAGCACTATTGACTTGTCAAACATTCTGCCTGAAGGATGTCGACGAAGGGCAGCTGCGGTATCAAACAAAAGCAACATTTTGCCATCAAATCCTATCCCAAAGACCTACAAACAAGCCTTAATGTCAAACGAAAACAGTGAGTGGGATCAAGCTATCACAACAGAGCTGCTCAACATGACCAGAAGAAAAGTCTGAAGCATAGTAAATCTACCAAAGGATCAACACACTATTGGTACAACCTGGGTATTCAAGAAAAAGATGGGAGCTGAGGGTGAGTTGCTCAAATTCAAAGCCCGACTATGTGCTCTTGGTTTTCTTCAGTACTTCGGTGTAGACTACAACAAGACCTACGCTCCAACTGGACGTCTGGTGACTTTTCGATCCGTATGTACGATAGCCGCAGAGGAAGATCTGGATGTCATTCAGATGGACGCTGTTGCAGCTTTCTTAAACGGGAGCCCCAAGGAAACTATCTACATCAAAATTCCTAAAGGTTTCAACGTCAAAAATGCAACAGAAGAAACAGTTCTTCAACTAAATCAAGCCCTCTACGGACTGAAACAAGCTCCGAAGGTATGGTATGATACTCTAAAAGCCTTCTTTGCGACAATCTCTCTCTTTCCCTCACCAACACACCCCAGTATTTTCATCTCATCGGATCCTCTTTGGCGCTGTCTAGTACACGTTCATGTCGACGACATGGTAACTGCCTCGAATGACGTAGAACGCTTCAGATCCTCCATCACTCAAAAATTCCAAATGGATGCCAACACCGATTTCAAATACATTCTTGGTATAAAGGTAGTCAGAGATCGAATGAACAAAACTATCACATCATCACAA